AGTTTTCCTTTTTGGTAGTGTTGATGCTGACCTCATAGAATGAGTTTGTAAGTATTCCCTCCTCATCTACTTTTTGGAATACTTTGAGGATGGGTATTAGCTTTTCTTTAAGTGTATGATAGAATTCAGCTGTGAGCCTATCTGGTGCTGGACTTTTGTTTTTTAGGAGCTTTTTGATTACTAATTCAATTTTTTTACTGGTAAGATTTCCTGTTTCTTCCTGGGTCAGTCTTAGAAGGTTGCATTTTCTAGGAAGTTTTCTATTTCTTCTAGGTTGTACAATTTGTCAGCATATTTTTTATAGAGTTCTCTAATAATTCTTTATATTTCTGTGGTATACATTTTGAGTATTCCTTTTTCATTTCTGATTTTGTTACTGGTGTACTCTCTTTTTTTCTTGATAAGTCTGGGTAGGAGTTTGTCTGTTTTGTTTATTTTCTCAAAGAACCAGCTCTTGGTTTCATTAATTTTTTCTATTGTTTTATTCTTCTCTACTTTATTTCTGCTCTGACCTTTATTAGGTCTCTCCTTCTACTAACTTTGGGTTTCATTTGTTCTTCTTTTTCTAGTTTCTTTAGTTGTGATTTTAGACTGTTTATTTGGGATTGTTCTTGTTTATTGAGGTAGGCCTGTATTGCTAAGTACTTCCTTCTTTGAACTGCTTTTGCATCATCCCACAAATTTTGAATTGTTGTATTTTTGTTTTCATTTGTCTCCATGTATTGCTTGATTTCTACTTTGATTTGTTCATCGATGCATTTATTATTTTGAAGAATGCTGTTTAACCTCCATGTGTTGTGGCTTTTTTGTTTTCTTCATGTAATTTATTTCTAGTTTCAACCATTGTGGTCTGAGAAATTGCTTGATACAATTTCAGTCTTTCTGAATTTATTGAGGCTTTTTTTGTGGCTTAGTGTGTTATCTGTTCTGGAAAACACTTGATGTGCACTTGAGAAAAATGTGTATCCTGTTGCTTTTTGTTGGAGTGTTCTGTAGATATCTGTTAAGTCCATTTAATCTAATATGTTGTTCAGTACCTCTGTTTCCTTGTTTATTTTCTGTCTGGTTGATCTGTCTACTGATGTGAGTGGTGTGTCAAAATCTCCTACAATTAATGTGTTGTAATCTATTTTCCCCTCTAATTCTGTTAGTATTGTTTTACATATTTATGTGCTCCTGTGTTGGGTGCATAGATATTTATAATGGTTATATCCTCTTGGTGGACTGACCCCTTTATCATTATGTAACATCCTTCTTTGTCTCTTGTTACTTTCTTTGAAGTCTGTTTTGTCTGATATAAGAACTGCTACTCCTGCTTTTTCCCTGTTATTTTCATGAAATATCTTTTCCCATCCCTTCACTGTCAGTCTGTGTATGTCTTTAGGTTTGATATGAGTCTCTTGTAGGCATATAGATGGTTCTGTTTCTTTATACATTCTGCCACCCTATGTCTTTTGATTGGTTCATTCAGTCAATTTACATTTAAGGTAATTATTTATAAGTATGTACTTATTGTCATTTTATTAATTGTTTTCTGTTGTTTTTGTAGTTCCTCTCTGTTCCTTTCTTTCTCTCATATACTCTTCTCTTGTTATTTGATGGTTTTCTTTAATGTTGTGATTGGATTTCTTTTTTAAAAAAATTTTTGTATCTATTATAGGTTTTAGGTTTGTGGTTACCATAAGGTTCATGGATAGTTTTCTAAATACATAATGGTCTGTATTAAGTTGATGGTTGCTCCATTTCAAACACAGTCTAAAAGTACTTCCTTTTTCTTCTTCTCTTCTACACTTGATGTATTGTGTCATAATCTGCAATTTTGTGTATTCCTTGACTGATTTTATGTATAGTTGCTCCTATTACTTTTGTTTTGTTTTTTTAACTTCATAGTTGCTTGCTAAGTCATTTGTGTCCTACTTTTACTGTGAGTATATGTTCACTTCTGAAAAATATTTAGGCTTAAGAACATTTCCAAATACAGAAGTCCCTTTAATATATCCTGTAAGGCCAGTTTAGTGGTGGAGAATTCCTGTAACTTCATTTACCTGGGAAACTTTTAATCTCTCCTCCAATTTTGCATGATAAGCTTGCTTAGTAGAGGACTCTTTGTTGAAGGTCCTTTTGTTTCAATACATCAAATGTTTCATGCCACTCTCTTCTGGCTTGTAAAGTTTCTGTGAGAAGTTTGCTTAAAGCCTGATGGGGTTTCCTTTATAACTAATCTTTTGCCTCTCTTTAGCTGCTTTGAATACCCTCTTTTTATCATTAATCTCTGTCATTTTAATTATTATATGTCTTGGGTTGTCTTCCTGGGATTCCTTTTGTTAGGGGCTCTTTGTATTTCCAGGACCTGGGTGTCTGTTTCTTTCCCTAGATTCGGGAAGTTTTCAGCAATTATTTCTTCAAAGAGACTTTCTACTCCTTTTTCTATCTCTTTTTCTGGTACCCCTGTTATGCAAATATTGTTTGTTTGGAGTTGTCCACACAGCTCTCTTAGCATCCTCTCATTTCCAGACATTCTTTTTTCTCTCTGTTCCTCAGCTTCATTGTTTTCCTGTCCTCTAATTTCCAGCTCATTGATTGTCTCTTCTACTTGCAGCAATCTATTATTCATTCCTTACATTGTTTTTTTCATTTCAGTTACTGTATTCTTCATCTCCGAGTGGCTCTTTTTCAACTCTTCAATCTCTTTGTTGAAGTCTTCCCTAGGATCTTCAATACTTTTCCACAGATCAGTGAGTATATTTATGACTCTTGCTTTAAAATCTTTATCAAGAAGATTGGTGATCTCTTTTTCACTTAGCCTTCTTTCTGGTGTCTTATCTTGTTCTTTTTGGAACATATTCCTCTGCCTCCTCATTTTGTCTGTGTTTCTGTGTTACTTCCTTTGTATTAGATAGATCTACAATGCCTCCTGGTATAGAGAGTAATGGCTTTATGAAAAAGGTGTCCTGTGGTGCCCAGAAGCTCAAGACTCTTTACTTCCAGTGCCTGGTACTCTTTTGTGGTAGAGCCCCAGTTGCTGTTTGTAGGGTATAGGCAGAAAAGATTGCCTTTCTCCTACCTGCCAGCAGTGGCTGATCTTTGTCAGCAAAGGCCCTTTGTGAGCCATGTAGCTGGTGCTTCTGATAGGATAGTTGCGGGGGAGAGGGGGCACCTTTCTGTCTGTCTGCTGACAGGGGCTGATCTCAGTCCCCAGTGGCTGGCAGCTCCCTAGCCCTCCATTTGTGAACCAAGCAGCAGCGCTTGTGCTGGGATCATTGTGGGCAGGGCTGCCTTCTGCCTTCCCTGCAGTGATGGTTGTGCTGCTGGGCTGACAGGGTCAGCAGGGGTGGGTGCACAGGGGAGCATGGCACAGGGTCACCAGTGATGAAGAAGGAGCATTTGTTGCTGGCTCCTAAAGGCCCCTCTCCAGTTAAGTTGAGAGAAGATTGAGAAAGCTGTGTCCCTCTGCCTGCCAGACAGCGAAGTCTCCCTTCCCCTGCCAGGCGGCAATGTGTGATGCTGCTGGGCTGAGTGGTCTTGGTGGGTGGTTGGGTGGGTGGGTGTTAGGTAAGCATCTCAAGACTGAGCCACTCTCCAGTGGGGTGCAGTATCTGGGGCTCCTGAGCATGCCCAACCAACTGAGCTGAGGGAAAGCTGGGAAAGTGTCATTCACCTGCCCTTTCTCCTGTGGAGAGAGCTCTATTCAACCCTCACCCCTCCTGCACCTTGCCTGCTGCTGGTAAATCTTTCCAATGGCTGCCTCTGTATTAGGTTTCAGCAGGACCAACAGAGGAATGTGCCTGTCCTCTGTAAGGGACTGGAGTCTCAGCCTTCCAAAGTGCTCCAGCTCTCCCTGGTGTCCAGCCCCCTTAATCACCAAAGCCCTATAAAATGTAGACTTCTGTTCCCAGAGCAGATCTCCAGGGCCAGGTGTGCAGACTTCCTGAGTGCTTAGCCCCTCCCTGCTCCATTCCTCTTCTTCCTGCTTGTGGGCTGGGATGGGGGAAGGACTGGGGTCCTGATTTATCATGGCTCTGCCCCTTCACCCTTTTCTGTGCAGTCTTCTCTTCACCAGGTGTAAGTTGTCTGTACTGCAGTCTTCAGGTTGTTTTCTGGGTTAGTTGTATTTACTGTAGCTGCTTTCTTGGTGTATGTGTGGGAGGAGGCTTCCACCTTGCCTTCCTACTCCACCATCTTTTTTCCCATCACCTAAAACAATCATTTTCACATGGAGATAAGAACACTCTCTGAAATTGAGAAAATACTAAATTATTTTAGGCCTTTTATAAATGAACCTAAAATACACACTAATCAACTTTTTATTATTGAGAAATGTGATCAGTAGGCATTCCCATCCTACCCATGACCTCTGTCCACCTTTTTCTTTATTGTCCTCTCTGCTTTACTGTTTTCTGCATTGCCAACATCCTTCTCCGGAGGTTGATCTCACACCATTCCCTAAACCCACCCATTTTTATCCCTCATCATTTAGATCCCCTTGAGAGTAGTCATTTAGATGGGCCACAGAATTCAGCTCATGCCTTTGTATCCTTGGGTTTGTCAGTGTCCTGTGGGGACAGTGACAGTAGGGTCTTGTGGTCCATTACATACGTGTGAGTGTCAGGAATGTCCATTCTTTTGGGCCATTCAATAGAGGCAGCTAATGGCACCTTTAATGTATATACTTGCAGCATTTGAAGAAGTCCAACACTTTGTTGATTAAAATGGTTTGTTTTAGGCATTAATGCCTTAAGATTAATTGGTTGCTCTTTTTATATACACAGAATTTAGCTTTATTCTAAGAAAATTCGTTTTGCCTAGTATGGTAGGAAATTAAATTTTGCAGTAGTTTAGAAATTGCTTTTCATAACAGACTTATTGATAAATGGCCTATTCTTTTTCCTGTTAATTCCTTTACCACTTACAGGGGTGTGCAATATCCAAAAAGAAAACGCTGTAGTAACTACTGTGTCATGGGTCTATTTAAAAATGCAATAATCATTTTTGTCTTATAGGACAAACTATTCGAGAGAAAAGAATTGTAGAAGCAGCAAATGAAAGAGAAGTAGACTATGAAGTAGGGGATATCCCAACAGAATGGGAAGGTAAGTCTTTGCTTTTAGTAGTATCTTCTGGAAGGCAAATTTTAAACTATATACAAAATCTGTCAGAGCATATGTAATTACATGTTTATTCTCTTTGCAAAAACGTTTACAATTGAATCCAATTTTTTTTTAAACATTGCATTTCTTTGAAAGTTCTGAAGGTACCACATTCTGGTAAGGGAACACATGTCTGGTGAGAAGAACCATTAAGCTTTATCAGAGCTGGGACGACACTGAGTTACAAGATACATAACTGGAGAGGCGCTCATTTTCATGAGCTGACCCTGCACTTACACAATCCCAGGGTCTGAATCTTGTTTTTGGTACTCACTACCCCAATGAATTTGGGACAGTAACTTATAATTCCCAATCTTAGTTTCCTTTTTTATAAATTGTAGATAATACTTGCTATAGATACTATTAAGAATATTTGTTCAACTTAACAATGACCCTGTTAGCTGACCCCCTGTTTAGACAAGGATGGACACTTGGTCCCTCTGTCAGGACTTTGGAATTAAGGTAAAAGATCAAAGAGAGATAAATAGTTCCATTCAGTCTGTCAGTATGGCTCAAACAATAACATATGAACTTGGTAGCTTTTGGGTGGCTATCTTCTATCCACTATTTAAGCTTTGTTGCAGAAAAAGCTGACCTACTAAGAAGAAAACGGGAACTAGTCTTCAAAAAAGTATATAAGTCTGATAGAATAAGGATACTTCTAAGTATATAAGTAAGACAAAATATCTCCCAGGTTTCCAACAACTTTCCAGTTCCCAGTTCCATTTGTTTCTGAATGAAGTTCAGCTGCAAGTCTGCCTTTGAGTTCTAAAGGCACCCCATATCCTTGTTATAAGCTCCCCCTTTTTCCTTACCAGTTCTTAACCAAATGTCTGGTACATGGGAAGGCACATAGTAAGTGTACAATAAATACATATTGAATACATGAAATCTAGCCTAAGTTAGCCTTTGTTATTTGCAACAAAAATAACTTTAACTAAAATATCGATACCTATCTTATTATATCACTTAACACTTACCAAGTGTTTACCTGTATAACTGATATTATGCCATTACTGTACAATCATTATATTTTTTTAATCAAAACAATCCCATGAGGTGAAAACTGTAATTGTACACATTTAATAGATAGGGAATCTAAGGCCTAGAAAGATTAGATAAATTGCCTGGGTTATACAGTTTACACACTCTAAGCAATAAATGCATTGCTTCCCAGTGGGTGTAGCATGATGCCATGATACCATGGTAGCTGTTGGCATTCAGTTACTTTTATGCCAGTAAATAATTTCCCTGGCAATATCTTTTCCATTTCTTCTTCTTAGCTATTAAAATATGAACTAGAACTATGAGAAAAGAACATAAAAATGGGTAGATACCAGAGACTTTTTGAAGAAATACAGAACATAAACCGGCAAGTTGTAGGAGTGATTGAGTTTTCTTATTTTAACAAACTTAACAGTGTTATAAGCTACATTTGTAATTCTCGAATAATGCTTGTATCTTTTTATAATGAGCCTCTTTTATCCTTTTTTTTCCAATAATAGTGTAGAATTAAAATGTTTATAGAAATAAATTATAAATAAACAAATAGGTAATGACTCATTTTTCAGCCTTTGAGATGTTCAGAGAATTAGAATGAAATTTAATGCTTTTTATGGCTCTGTTCTGATCTACTAAGTCAGCATAACTATCCCATGGGATATTTCCTTAAAACAAGTGTATCAACCAAACACTGGAACTAAAATTATTTTTATGGTGTTACACATCAATTAAATGTAAAAAATAAGAGCTCTGTATTCATGAAAAATAAAATTACAGTATAAACACACAAAACACTACTTTAAAAAGTAAAAGAGAGAAAAAGACTTCTAAGTAATGGCAATACCAAATGAATCTGAATTATTTTCAGATCCACATGAATACTATATTTGTTAATTATTAGTAGTAGAGGTACCTACCAGCTGCATATGCTACCACAATAAATACTTGACAGTGTGCCCTTTTTAATTCATTTCTTTAATAAACATCTATTAAGGACCTCTGCACCCATGGAGTTTACATTCTGGAGTGGGCAAGTGTGTGGGAGAAATATAGTATATCAGATATATAACTACATGTATATTATGGCCACAGAAAATAAAGCAGGGAAAGGGATTGGGAGTATTAGGAAGAGTTCTGCAGTTTTAAGTAGTGTATAGAAAAGGCCTTGCTGAGAGGACAATTTATAGTAAGGACAGAAGGAGGTGGCTATGCAGGTAAGCAGCACAGGAACATTCCTAGAGAGTAAGTACAAAAGCCCTGAGGCATGAGCATACTTAGGTGTTTAAGGAACAGCAACGAAGCCAGTATGACTGGAATAAAGCCAGAGAGAAAGTAGGGTTGAAGTTAGAAAAATAATAGGATATTTAATCTTGTAGGACCATATAGACCATTCTAAGGACTCTGGCTGTTACTCTGAAATTGGAAGACATTGGAGGGTCTGAAGAGTAGTACTATGCTCTGAGTTATATCTAACAGGATTACTCTTGCTGCATCATTGCAAAGAGACTAAGTGGGGCATGGGCACAACATGGAGACAAAAGGCTCTTGTAATAATTTGGGCCAGGGATAAGTGTGACTTGGAACAGAGTAATGTGGCGGTGGAAAGAAGTAGTCACATTCTGGATCTATTATAAAAGTTGAGCCGATGGGATTTACTGACAGATTTGATGTGGAATGTAAGAGAAAAAGGTCAGTGATGACTGTTAAAATTTTGAGTCTCACCTAGAAAAATGGAGTTGCTGTTGACAGAAGGGCAAGACTGTGGAAGGAGCAAATTTAAGGAGTGGGGAATGCGATTAGGGAAATGTGAAGTTTGAGATGCCTGTTAGACATCAAATACAGATATTAAGTTGTATATATAAGCCAAGAATTTAGTTGAAAAGTTTGAGCTGGAGATAAAATTTGGAAGTTCACAGCAAGTAAATGGTATTTAAAGCTAGGAGACTAGATGAGAGCACAAAGGGAATGAATGTAAATAGAAGATTTGAAGTTCAAAGACTGACTGCTTAGCTACTCCAGGTTTTAGAGAGAATGAAGACAAAAAATGAACAGCCAGAAAAGTAGGAGAAAAAAGAAAACTTTCATGTGCTGGAAGCCAAATGTCAAGGAGAAGTGATCAGCTGTGTTGAATGAGGACTGAGAATTAATTCTTGGCTTTAAGAACAGGGAAGTCAATGATATGGGCAAAATGATTCTGTAGAGCTTTAGGGATAAAAACTTGGTAGAAAAAAGAATGACAAGAGAAAATTTGGAGAAAGTGAGTATAGACAAGACAATGCTTATGAGGAATTTATCTGTAAAAGAAAGGAGGGTATTGAAACAGTGCTTGGGGAGAAATAGGAGTCAAGATGAATTTTACTTTCTCTTGTTCCAAAGACAGGAGAAGTAACTGAGTTTTGTAATATTGATAGGAAAGATCCAGTCAGAAAGAAAACATTAATGATACAGGATAAAGAAAGTCTTGAGAGGGCAAGGTGGGACAGGATCTAGTGTACATGTGGAAGAGCTGGCCTTTGACAAAAGCATGGAAAGTTCATCAGTGGTAATAGCAGAAAAGTACAGTATATTGACACAAATGCAAGTAGATATATACATGTGGTGGTGAGAACTTGAGTAAATTCTCTTTTGATTCCTCCAAATGAAGTTCAGAGGGGTTAAATATCTCCCTAACTACAAACAGCAGCTATAACCAAGATTGGAACCCACATTATCTTCAGTCTTTACTCTGAATGTTATATTGCCTACCTCATTAATAACCTGATTAGTTCTTATGACACTGCAACTTTTAAATAGGCATTGATTCCTTTGGAAGTCTTTGTGACTTCACCCCTTGAGACCTAGTGGTAGGTGGTATTTTTGGTATATTCCTTTTTGTTTTTCATATCACTTCATATGCCTCTTCCAAGTATAACACTTAACAGACTGTAGATTATTCCCCCTTTACTTACATACTTCTCCTCTCTGGACTTAAAAATTCTCTAGGGTAGGGTCCTTACCTTGTATTCACTGTGTTCTCAAGGCCTGGTTCAATCCTTAACACAAAATAAATGCAAGTTCAATCAATATTTGTTGAATGAATGCATTTTAAAATTGAAAGTACCTATGGAAGAGACATTTTGGGGAATTGCTGACTTGCTGAAAATAGTTCATTTTAAAAAGAAAGACATCCAGATGAGATTGGATTAAAGGTGGCAGTGTGAGAGGTGAGACAGAGACCTCTTCCTAAAACCACATATAATACGAAAATATAACTTAATACAACTAATCCTGAAAGAGCAACAGGAAAGAAGGCTGTGCCAGACTGCATACACCTGGAGAAAAGAGCAGACCTCATGAAACAGGGTAATGTACCAAAACTGTAACCCGGTGGGGCACAAGCCCTTCCCCCACCCCAGCTCACTGTGGGAGGAAGAGAAAAAGAGCAGGGCGGGAGTGGAGGCCTGGGACTACTGAACACCTAGCCCTGGAATCTCCTCTGGGAGCATGAACCTACATTGCATGGTGCCCTGGTGATTTAGTGAGGTTGGAAAGCTTAAGACATGCGGAATACCTGGAGAGAAGGAGATTCCAGCTGCTTGTAGAAAACAGGGATTCATATCCAGCTGATCTGGGTGGGCAGTCTGAGAGACTTCCTAGAAGCAAGAGGGCTGCTAAAGGAGCAAGGATTGCACAGAGCTTACTGCTCAGGAGAAAGGACAGGCAGACAAAATTGTCTGGGTGCAGTCTGCCCAGCAGGTTGGGAGCTTAAGCAAACTTCAGGGGCTCCATCCCCTTGGCTGGCTACACAGCTTGAATGCCCCCCGTTGTGATAAGCAGCCTGCTATGTCTTCCTCCCGGCTAGTCTGCACCTGGCTCAGGCTCACAAACCAGCAACCCCTGCCATAGTGTCAGGCCAGTCAGAGGGAAGCCCCACCTGCAGCAGCTACAAACAAAGCATAGAG